TGTTAGAGACTGACCCGTCTGTCGGGTCTGTTGGTGTGGCCTTAAACTGAAGGTCAGGAAACAAAGGTCTGTGACTACAGGACCTGTAAAAATAACATCCTTCTTGTTTGTCTTCATAGTTAACATAGTGATGACGATGTTGCTTGTTGGGTATTAAGACACAAAGGGATGACAAGTGAACAGTCTAGCCTCTGTACAACAGAGGTTCCCAGCTTTCTGCCGTGCCTCCTTCTGTAAATAGTCACACTATCGAAACATTCACAGCTGTTTCCATCCTCTTGGAAGAAGAGAGATGAAATGCTGATAAGTGGGATTTCCCCAGCTTATTAAAATGGAAATGTGTATATCTTGATCACAGACGACCTCTCACTTTGGGAACCACTGATACAAAATACTAAACCTGTGTACTGTTTAAAAAGCATAGTACTTGTGGCTGTCATCTCTTCATCATGTCGGGGCTATGGAGTAACTAGTGCCAGCTTTGACTCATGTACTAGCAGCACAAAAAACCCAAAAACAACAAGATGGCCATGAAAAACACAGCCCTGTTTGCAGAGCCATAAAATGGCGGGTAGTTCTTTGTTTGCACACTTTTCCAATGGCTACATTTAGTAAATATTGACTGTACACGTAGGCAACTCTTAATTTCTTCTTTAGCCGTATCGTAACTTTCCTGCTGTAATAAAGTTTGAACAGCGAGCAGCCACGCTCTAAAAACATGATTGAACTAAGGATTTTAAAGGCTCATAAAAATGATTAAAAAGTGTTACTGTGGGTTAGCTACGGCTAATCTTCTGGCAATGGCAATAACTTCCAGTTATCTTTATACTATTTTCAGAGGACTGTTGCTCACCTTTGCTTGGCTATCTGTCAATTTTAACTACCTAACCCTAGTCAGTACATGTAATCATTGAAAAAATACATGAAGACATACAGTAAATATTATTGCAAAAATAAAAGCTAAACCCAAAATAAACGACAGCTCCTGTGACACACCTGCTTCAAACAAACGAGAAACAAAGAAACATCTGATTTTGATTAAACTAAAAAAATGTTCCTCCTTAAATTTTGGAAGAGTAGTGGTTTCTAGAAGACTAGCCAACATGAATTATTTAATTTAAAATGTGTAAAAAAAATAAAAGTTGCGCTTTCACTGACAGGTTGAGAAATACTTGAAGTTTGTTGCGTTATTTTCCTCCAAACTCGCAGATAAAACAAAGGTCAGTCGTCGGAGACCGGTTTATTGCTTCTCTGTTTAAGACCACTTCTATCAGCAGAAACTCCACTGCCAGTAGAATAAACAGTGTAACGTGACTCACTCATGCGCACTATATGCTGCTTTTGTAAATTGTGAGAAACAACTTTCATGCCAAATGTGTTGAGATAGGCTGGGATGGAGGGCGTGGCCTGTAATTAGAAGTGACAGTTTGGAACGAGGTGAAGAGGTATCTGTGGTCGTGTATCTGATTTGAGCAAACTGTGACACAATCGGCTGCTGTGGGTTGTTGGGACAAGGAGGACACTGTGGACGAGTGGCTCAGTGCTCCTGCCTTCCAACAAGAGTACCGCTGATTCCATCCCTAGTGGTGACTGGGCGGTTGATGTTCTGCATGGAGTTCGTGTGTTCAACCTGTGTGCACTCCAGGAACATGAAGGATTTGGTGAATGATTTACTTGAAGTTGGCCGAAGGACGGTGTATAGTTGTTGGTGAGATCAGGGTGTAACTACATCCTTACTCGATAAGAAAACCAAAAATTATAAAAACATAAAACTATGAATCAGGGGATATGGTATTTAATGATTGTGATCATAAAAAAAAAAGCTTTCGTGTCTCACGAACAGATTAAAACCAGTCAGACTGATACGAATCAACGTGGTGGTAATGATCTGAACATAAAGCTGATTTTTTTACATTTGGATATTTTACTTATTTTATTATTAGTATTCTTGTTGTTGTTGTTATTAATATAATTAATAATAATTTTAGAAGTACAGCAGTCTTGTTTGTCCCCTACTGGCCGTCTTTGGTAATGACAACTTAGTACTGGAAAGCAAGTGTAACGCTGTGGACTGATTCTACAATGTGTGGGGTTTTTTTTTAATGTGATGACCTGACGCACCTTTTTATTCATAAATGCAATGAAGAAGTTTGTGTGTGTGTATGTGAGAGAGAGAGAGAGAGAGAGAGAATCAACGTAAAATGATGAGCACTACTTTGTTCATTAAGTTTTAAAACAGTTTCTGTTTGACTTTGTACTGAAACCATGAAAATAGACTTTCTGTATATAACATGTGATGATGAAGTGATGATGACAGGCTGAACTATTGTCTGATTCAAGATGTGTGTTCCTCTTGGAGACTCTGTCACTGAAGTGCCACTGGTTATAAAACAATAAATAAATAAAACGAAAGAAAACGAAGAGACCACAGAACTGATGTGATGTGTTTCAGGGTCACGGACTTTTGTTCCTTCTAGCTTTCTTCAGATTTTTTTTTTTTTTTATGTTAATACGAGTCCGAGTCAAGTCTGAAGTCTTTGCGGTCACAACACTGTCAACCATCATTTGGCTGCGTTTGGTTTAACGCATGCGCAGGCCACCGGGACTTCCACCGTCTCCCTGGTGACCGTATACTTGTCTTTGTCAGTCGGACACGGGATCTTCCGCAGAACTTTCTTCCAGACCATGATTGGTACCGAGTTATAGCCCAAATCCTCATGCCGGTTAACGATGCAGCCTTGACACAGACACTCGGCAAAGGCGATGACACGAGGAACTCTGTTTTCGTCGCTGTCAACTCTGAAGGATAGACGGTGACACGTGATTAAAACAGATGAACCGTAATTATTTATACAGAGAAAAACATTTCAGTTCACATGGATAAAAAAAAAGGTCCTTTATTCAGCAAGACAATGACAACAGTCTGACATGACGTGGACAGAGGCATGAACGTCAGCTTGACTTAATAATCTTTACGTTTTATGACTGGATTAAAAAATGATGATGCTTTGCAGTAATAGATAGATAGAAAAATTACTATTACTTTTTTTAAAACAAACTGCTTGAAACTTCTCTACTGTAAGACTAAATTTTTACTTGCACAACTGCAATACAAGAATACTTGGAGGGCGTAAACGAAACAAACGGCAATGTAATCATGTGGTGAAGTCTAACATTAACTAATTAATAGTTTTATTTTTTCCAGTAGAATTGTTGGCGGTCATGTTCTGCCCTGGTGGTCGGCTGTCATTTGATGCGGTGTCCATGTGTCGTTCACGGTGTTGTAGGGTTGGGTTAGGTTGATGGTTACAGTGTATTTCTAATAGGAATACACTGTAACCATGTTTGTTTAAGTTTGAGTTGCACTGATTAGCACTGCTAACACGGCACCTGTTATTAACAGCTCCTTTCATTATCTGCTAATAACACATTTACTCAACGACTGACTGAAAAATAAGACAGTGGTGACAAGTGACGTCGCACACTTCTTTTCTCTTCAGGCGTACTGTTCCACCGCTACAAATCTAGAAGCATCAACGGAGAACCGCAGTGACACCACGTGGTCGTCCCCCTATATTACATTTTTAAAAGCTGTTTATATCAATGTATTTTAGGTATTTATTAATTAGGACCGGTGTCCTACTCTGCGGAACACATTGACAATATTCCCATGAATTCATCACTTTATTATTGAATACACGATTTTTTTATTTTTTTTATTCTACGATAAGAAAATCAAGACTTTATTCTTATAAACTATTAGTAGTCATGTTAAACAATGTCTAACATCACTTTCAACTCTAAACGGAAAACAATAGTTGTACTGAGTAATTAAATTTACAGAAATATATGTAATTTTGTAAAATTAATTATAAATATATATATTATTTTATATATAATTTTTGTAAAATTAATTTCTCAGTACAACTATTATTCTACTATTCGTCTAGTGTTGAAACGACTGCAACACCTGTCACACTCACCGCTCACCTGATTCTCCAGGGTGACAGAGAACGAGCGCTCACGTCGCCGCTCATCCGCTTTGCTGCTTCGGCGCAGGTGCGTTCTTTTTCCTTATTGGGGCGGCTCGGCGGCGGGGTCGTGGTGGTGTACCTGCTCAAGAAACGCTGGAGGCGACTACTGGGCTTATCTGCGCTGACACAGTTGGAGGTGTGTGCAGAGGAAACCTGGTCACTGAAAAACAACAGGGAACCGAGGGAGATCTGTAGAACACAGCGCAATATAGACAAAAGTTAAAACAAATGTCAGAAACACAAATTAAACAAGTAATGGTCTCTGTTACCATTTTCAGACAGACCCACGCCATTTTGAGTCCGTAAAGGTAAGAGTGCAACCGAGAGCTCCATAACATTAATACCCACGTATATATGTGCTAGGAAAACACACACACACACCCACACACACACACACAAACTTCATGGTTCGTTGAATTCCAGGGAATTCTCAAATCCTGTATTTCCTTCGCCATTGAGACAAAAAAAAAATCGAACACACCCATTTTTCACCCACGTCCAAAATTCCTTCAAGTTTCACTACGTCTGAATATTTTATTTACATTGATATGTGTTGCCAAATGTATAATTCTTTTTTATATACTCGCCTCCTCCTGAGACGTTGTTTACGGATGAGCAAGATTTACTTAGTTCGCTCACGAGAAAAGTCGGTCCTGTTTATAGTCATTATAGCACTTAGCTTCTGTCCGTTACGTTTACATTTGTACTGTTTATGAAGGGGCCACACAGTGGTAAAGAGGTTAGGGAACTTCCCCTTACAGTAAGATGGTCAAATGTTGAAATGACAAAACAACATAAACACCAGGCGTCATTGGTCAGAGACTGACCTTGTTTTTTGAAAATATTTTACATCAACATTGGCCACAGATTTAAAACGTATTTCTTTAACACTGAAACCAAATGTGTTTGTCTCATAAGAAGTCTTTCTGATTTTTTTTTGTTTTGCAGCACCGCAGCCTGTACATCATACTGCTTATTATTCTGTTCTCTGGGATTCCATTCATATAAAACAGTGACAGGCTGTGGAATTTTGCTGAATGTAAGAAATGTCATGTCTTATATAGAATAATAACAACAAAGTATATATAAATACACAAACAATAATAATACTACGTTGCAGATAAGTCATATTGATTGTTTTTCAATCCATCCATCACCGTCCGCTTATCCAGGGCTGGGTCCCAGGGGCAACAGTCTGAGCAGGGACACCCAGACTTCTCTCTCCCCAGACACTTCCTCCATCTCTTCCAGGGGGGTCCCAAGGCGTTCCCAGGTGAGCCGATTGTTTTTATTTAATTAAATTTTTGCTTCAAAAATAAACGAGTCTTCTACCAGTTTAAAGTAAATCTTTTAAATGTATGTTTTTATTGATATTGAAATATTCTACAAGTACAAGTCTTATGTAATGCATTCCTTTTTCATTTTCAGCCAAAGCATTATGCAAGTTCATCAGTCACTCTGGTTGATGTTTAATGAGAATTCACCAGTTAAGGCCACATACCAAGGATTGCAGCGCTGTTAAACACAACCACCCCCAGGAAAAACCCTAGTCATCCCGGAGACTCTGCCCCTTTGGTATAAATGCCTGTTATCTGAATTTAGATCAACTGCTGTGTCATTCACACAGATACGACAGATACAGATACGGTTTCTTGTTCTTCTGTCTGTCTGTCTATACGTCTTCGCAGCCAGGTAACTAGCTAGCTTAGATATCCCTGCTGACTAGCTGGTAGTGCTAACCATGTGTAATGTAAAGATATTTTATGGCAGTTTGGAAAAGCATCCAAAGTAGGGGTGTGTATTGACAAGAATCTGGCGATACAATACATGTCAGGATACAGCAACGATATGTTGTATTACTATATTTGCGGTACTATAGAAATAACGATTTATAGAGTTTTTTGTCATTATAGTTAACACACGATGCTGTTCCACCTTAACATAAGGTTACTAACATTGGAAGAGAGGGATCTACAACTACTTTGGAATCACTCGAGGAGAAAGAAAAGAAAAATGAAATGAACCAACAACAGGAATGTTTGACTGGGAATTGTTAATTCAAAAATCAATACATTGTTGTAGAACAGGGTTGTCAAACTCAAAGAACTGTTGAAAATGACAATGACTGAACAAACTGTAACAAAAGAAAAAACCTGTCCAAACATACACTTCTGTTTTATTGTTTATTAACACCGGAATCCGGGCACAGAAAATATTTTCTGTGGACTCTGGCCAAATTTTCACATGATGTCATGTGAGGCTGGCCCCGCCCACTGTGAGCCTGCAGGATATAAATGTTTTGCAGTCTGTATTTAGAAACACAAATTTGGCCCCGCCCACTGTGAGCCTGCAGGATATAAATGTTTTGCAGTCTGTATTTAGAAACACAAATTGATTGCTGCAGGCTCTTTCACCTCCTACTTATCAAGCACTTTGGCCTCCAGGTGAGCTACGGAAAAGTGTTTCCTCGAGAACAAGTGTCAGGTTTTGTGGTAGCTTCATTCTGGTTGCCTTGTTAGTGCAGAATCCGCAGATCTGTTTGATAAATATGTGAATGAATTGGATTAACTTTGTTATTTTTGATATATAGTAACGTAAGTGAAATTAGAATGAGTCAGTGAGGGACAAAGAAAGACTGTGGCTTGGTTTCCTATAATTGTCGTTAGGCAATGCGCAGTTCGACCTTTTCTTTCGCCTTAGGAATTTGCGAAAAAACAAAAATAACTTAAGTCCTTTATGTTTTGGCAAGTCCAATCAGAAATGGAAACTTGTCTTAGTTTGTCTTATCCAATGAAGGACTCGTTCTCAGCCAGGACACTGAAAAACAAATCTTTGATCTTTGATCTGAAGTCCACCATTTACTCGAATAGGTGTGCCCAAAAAGAAAAAAAAAAAGATTTGGCTTCAGTCAAACTGCTCTCCGATGTCTTATCTTATAGTTATGATCGTTAAGTCCACAGTTCAAGTACAGATTCACACAAAAATGTCAGAATTTTTACAGATGTATAAACAGAAACCAACCTTTTAAATAAATCCAATTACATACATTAAATTATTTTTTTTAACATAAACGGTGACAGTTATTTGGTTGAATAAAAAATGTTTTAACCACAAAGAGTGCTGTCACACCCGAATGCTGCTTGGTTTACAAACACCCAGGTTTTCGTAGGCTTCTTGGTACAGACTCTGCATGTATATTTGCACACAAGACTCGATACAATCGATCTGCCCACCAAACTCCTGCTCCTCACTGTCATCACTGTCAGGCTCACTTGTGTCGTCCTCCTCCAACTGCTCCTTGAGTTGCTTCACCTGGTCATACAGACACCACCTCTCTCCACTCTCCACCTTCAGCTTGGATTTAAGATCCTCTGCTTGCTCCAACAGGGACCGCTTTTCTCCAGTCGCGACCTTATGCTTGGCTCTGAGATCCTCAAACTTATCAGCTAAAAACTGCTTCTGTTTGGTCTCCATGTCCAGTTTGGATTTGAGACACTCAAGTTGGTAGGAAAGAGATTGCTTTTCTCCACTCTCCATGTCCAGTGTGTCCTTGAGATCCCTAATCTGATCTGAAAGTAAGTGTTTCTCCCCGTTCTCCACCTCCAGCTTCACCTTAAGATCCTCAACCTGTTCTGACAAAGACTGTCTGTCTCTGGTCTCCACTTTAAGTCTCATTTTAAGTTCCTTAACCTGGTCATAGAGACACCACTTCTCTCCGGTCTCTACCTTCAACTTAGCTTTAAGATTCTGGACTTGGTCCGACAAAGACTGCTTCTCTCCAGTCTCAACCCCCAGCTTGGCTACGAGATCGTCAAACTGCTCCGACAGCGATTCTTTTTCACTGCTCTCCATCTTGAGTTTGGCCGTTAGGTCATCGACCTGGTTTGACAGAGACTGTTTCTCTCTGGTTTCCACTACCAACTTGGCCTTGAGAGCCTCGTCCTGCTCATGTAAAGACCAGACCGTCTCTGCCTTCAGACAGTCGTCCTGATTCTGGACATGTTTCTGTTCCTCTCTGATTATTAGCTGTAACCTTTCTTCAAGAGCCTCAGTATCCTTAGACGGACATGGCACATTGTTTGTTTCCAGATTGACTTGGGAATCTTTGACCCAATCTGATAGAGGTGGCAGATTTTCTCTTCCATCAACATCCATATCATGGTCTGACAGAAACAGATACTCTTCAGTATAAAACGTATCCTGTGTCGTAAGATCTCTAACTTGCGTTGATGTACACCCCTCTTGAATGTCCAATCCTACCTGTTTATTTAGATCTTCAACTTGGTTTGAAACAGATGGAAGATCATAGATCTCTCCTTCCACCTCGACATCGAGAACCTCCACCTCCTCCAAGAGTGGCAGCTTTTCGCAATTGTCCAGATCAGGCCTGGCTTTTGGGTCAGTTCCATCATCTGATGGAGATATTTCTTGTCTGATCTCAGATTTGAGCTGGGCAATATGGTCCTCATCATGGTCTAACAGAAACAAAGATTGTTTGTTCTTTGACTCCCAGTGATGTCCAGGTTCCTTAACATGGTTTGTCCAAGTCGGTTCCTCTTCAGTTTCACACGGTTCCTGGGCATCACTCTGTGCCTGACCTCCAAGATGCTCTACTTGCTCTAATAGAGGTTGTGTTTCACCATTCAGTTCTTTAATGTCGTCACCTTGGTCTAACAGAGGCTTCTTCAACTCTGGCTGTTTTATGGGAGCCTTGACGTGGTGGGCTGGATCGACCGTGGTTGGTTTGGATACAAGACCCTCTTCTGGGCCAGAAGATTGATTCTCATGATGATCCAACTCTTCATGGGAAGAAGATTGTAGCTCTGTGGTTCTGACCTCAAACCTGACTCTCTGATTCTGAATTTTGTTTGACAGAATGTGTTTGTGTTCATCTAACTGAGACTTAAGACTGACCACATGGTTGGACAGAGACATGTTCTCTTCCACGTTCAACTCCAACTGTTCTTTCAGACTTTCTACTTCGCTGGACAGTGGCTGCTTGTCTCTGTTCTCCACCTCCAGCTTGGCTTTCAGATCCTCAACCTGGTTGAAGAAAGTCTGCTTCTCTCTGTGCTCCAACTTGAGCTTCATCTTCAGATCTTCAACCTGGTCTGAGAGGGACCGTTTTTTTTCGTTCTCCATATTAAGTTTGGTTCTAAGATCCTCAACCTGATCTGACAACGACTGCTTTTCCTGGCTTTCGACCTCCAGCTTGGTTTTTAGGTCCTTAAACTGATTTGTCAGAAAGTGCTTCTCTGTGTTCTTCACTTCCAGTTGGCCTTTGAGATTTGTGACCTGAACAAACAGACCGTGCTTCTCATCAGTCTCTAGGTCCAGTTTGGTTTTGAGATCCTCGACGTGCTTGGAGAGTGACTGCTTCTCCTCAATCTCCACCTCCAGCTTGGCTTTAAGATTTTCAACCTGGTCAAACAGACACTGCTTCCCTTTGGTCTCCAGCTTGGCCTTGAGGTCCTCCACTTGGTCTGTCAGAGACTGCTTCTCTTTGGTCTCCACGTCTAACTGTTCTTTAAGTTGCTCAACCTGGTCGTACAGCGACTCGTCTTCGGCCTCTGCCTCACTGACCGAGGCCGATTCCTGTGGAGCTCTGTGGACCTCATCTGTTTCATCTGGTTCTGGTGTTTTGAAACTGTCAGAATCCATAACGTTACATTACACCCTCTAATTTTTTTTTAATTTTTTTTATTCTTTAATAGTTTTAATGCATCTGCCACCTTCTGGTCATTTGTTTATGATCACGTGGAACCTGCCACCATTTGCACCTGTTGTAATGTGTTGTTGCGCCCTTGATGTTTACTTATTATACATCAAAGACAATAGACTCCTGTTTTTCATGGCAGTTAGCATCCGTTTGTGCACTTCTTTTTTTCATTTTGATTCTTTTGTGTAAATTGCGTCAGTAGCACCAATTGGTGTTGTTTACATTTTCCTTGACAAAACAAAGAGAAATGCATCAGAAATGCAACGATTTGGATGCCTTTGCAATCACAAAAACAAGAATAAGAAAATCTGATGTCAGAGAGAGAAGAGAACAAAGCAATCAGCCGTACTGTGAGCTAGCGTTATCTTAATCATATTAGCTCTACAATAGTAGCCACATTTCTTTGATCAGTCCTGCCTGTTAATCCTGTAATACGCAGATTGGCCTTGATAGTCACATAGTCCAGAGAGGAATCCCTTTTATCAGGGTCTTCACAGTGGTCTAAACTAGTGGAACCTTTTTTGTACCCAGGACCAGTCGGCTGGTATCAGTATTACTGCGTACTAGTAATACTGCGCCATCGTTGAAGGAAATTTTCTGAATAAACTGCGGCCCGGTACCAAATTATCTATGGACCGGTACCGGTTTCCTGACACAACCCAACCTCAGAATAGTCACGTAATGACAATGTGTAAAAATAAAACAACAATAGACGGAATGTAAAAAAAAGGCCGAAATGTAGCTACACCATTTCGGTGTAAAATATTAGCGAAACAATCGTTTGAACGATGGAGATGTTCGTGTTAATAACAGTGTGTAGAATGATGGAGCGAATGCGTTCATTTCGCTGTTTGTACCTATCTGCGGTTTATCCACTAGATGTCGCCAATTTATACAAGCTAGAAAGGTTTTTTTCTGCCTTAATATTTTTAGGAGTGTCTGATGTGTGGAAACGCTGATGATAATAATGAACCTGTATGAAACAAACAAAAATTAAATTCTCTTGATATTCATCTGGTCGTAGCAGTGTTTCATATCATGTTTTATGGAAGATGGAAATAAAAATACTGAGAGTAGATTTGGTATGGATTTGAATCAAATACTCCAGCAACCTGATACTCTGTAACATGTTTTTACCACAACCAGCGATGCACAGCTCAGCCAGTGTTGTCTCTTCATCCTCTGGGGAGTTCATTGAAGTAGGTCAACAATGAAGTTCACCTCAGGGACAAAGTCCAGTGAAGGCGACACGTAGCGTCAGGCATGAAGACCTGAGCAGATTAGACTTCATTAATCTGACGTGAAACAACACTTTTTCTTCTAATCTGGCGAATTTAAGAGGGGTTTAAACATTTACTCAGCCACATGACCCTGTTGGATAATGCTTTGAAAGTGATTCGAAAATTCTTTTCCAGGCCAAATATTACCACACACACACACACACACACACACCTGCGCACACACACACGAACACAAACTTCCTGAACCTGTTGTGCAGCTCGACAGTATTTCCCCATTCCTACTTTTGCTCCACTGTCAGAGGCATTTAGCTTCATTTCATTCTGTCTCCTATGACTGACTGCAGGTTTATAAGAAGCATCAAAAACCGGTCCCAGCACCGACGGACGCAGGAGACAGGTGGACACCATGGGTGAGTGTGCATTGATTTTTTTTAATGTATTTATTCTTTTATATTTTGCTTTCACTTGGTTTTGATACCTGTCAACAGTCTGAACACTGTCCTTTCAAAAGAACTAGAGACTTAAATCACCTACGTCTACGTCTGTTTCATTTCACTCTACGTTGGTCTTTTGACCACGACTCAAAGCTCGTTCTTTGTATCAGATCTCGTCAGAGTTCCTCCAAATTTTGTAAAAGCATCATAAATCTGGGACTAGTCAACAGTCTGTGATATAATCAGGTATTATATATAATAGGGATGTCCGATAATATCGCCCTGATATTAGCATATTACTGTATCCATCCATCTATCCATCCATTTTCATCCACTTATCCGTTACCGGGTCGCAGGGGCAGCAGTCCCCACCCAAATCACACTGCACCGTACCAACCCCCCCTGAACCTTCCTGCAGGTGGTGAGTCCACTGGAAGGTATTAACCGCCCTAACCAGGATTCAAACTTGCCCAGGAGGTGAACCCTGGGGTTCCACACCAATGACAGAGACATTGCCTCTGGGCCAAAGCACCACTATATTACTGTATGTATTTCTATTTTGTCAGCATCTTAACATTTTCTTCATCAAATCCTCAGCTCTCCTGCATAGATTTAGCATTCTGGTTTATTTCAAATGTTTGTGAAGTCGCTGTTGACTTTTCGTGTGTGTTTTCATGGACAAAAAATGTTTTGTTGACAGGTAGAGTTCACCAAACGGTCTCTGATCTGATGATAACATGAATTCTTTTTCAACACACCTGCACAAAACATGTATGTTGTGATCAGAGGCAGATCTAGGAACATCAGGGCAGACTGAACCACAGAGATACCTTTAAGGTAAAGGTAAAGTAGGAACAACTTTTGCGTAATGGGAAAAATTACCAGTACCTCCTCAAACTTCACCAGCAGGAGGCGCTAAAAATTAAGTTTAAATGTCGAGGTGAAGGGTGATTTATTTACTGATAGATGTGAGTGTGCACCTCTGTCATCATCCATCATCTGTTATCCATCTATCTCTCATCTATCCATCCATTGTTGAAACTACTGTATAAAAGAGCCATCCAGCCGAGTGTCTTGTTTTCTCTGAGCGTCTTGACTTGACCTTAACCTTGGCCTTGTCAGTACAGTGCAGGGTTTCAGTCCCAGTGTGGAACAACATCAGTTTGAGTTCTTTTTTCCTCTGCCACAGCTCAGAAGACGGTCCTGATCGTGTACGCTCACCAGAGCTTAGGCTCCTTTAACGAGGCCGTGCGTGACGTGGCGCTCCAGGAGCTGACGAAGCAGGGGTATAAGGTCATCGTGTCTGACCTGTACGCCATGAACTTCAGAGCCAGCACTACAAGGGAAGATATCATTGGTAATTGCAGACATTATCTGCACCTCCTTTAGTTGATCACATCAAGACGTGGAGATGTTTATGACATTTGTTGATATGGAGAACATCATTTTCAGAATCAGAATTATACTAAGAGCGATTTGTGTCAGGTGACCTGAAGAACCCAGAATTGTTCCAGTATGGAGAGGAGTCCATGGCGGCCTGGAAGGAGGGTCGTCTCAGCGATGACATCGTAGCTGAGCAACGCAAAGTGGAAGAGGCTGAGTTTGTCATCTTCCAGGTCAGGAGCTTTTGTTTTTGTGAGAAAAACTACACAAAATAATAGAGTAACTTCTTAAACGTGGCTCCATCAATCTGCCTACAGTTTCCGTTGTACTGGTTCAGTGTTCCTGCCATCATGAAGGGATGGATGGACCGAGTCCTCACACAGGGCTTCGCCTTCTCCCTCCAGAAGCTTTATGACAAAGGCGCTTTAAAGGTCTGTGTCAGGTTCAAGTGATGAGATGTTCATTCCTACAAAATGACATCACTGCTCAGTAGTTGAAGAGGAGATGCAGCCACAGCTAATGTTCTGATTTTACTAACCATGTAACAAATACCCAAGTACGCTTCAAACGACATCATCGGGACCAGGTGTGAATTTAGAGCAGATCAAACTTTCTGATTATAGTTTGGTGTTAGCGCTGGCTGTTTTTTGTTTTGTTTGGCTGTTATTGGCTAACCCTTGAATATAGTTCCTTTCCAGGGGTTTTCAGAGTGTAACGTTGGCTCTGAAAGACCTCCTCCCTTAAAGGAACTAATGTTTAGTGTGTCGATTCAGACTGTTTTAATAACTGATGTTGTTTTTGATAAAGGATAAAAAAGCCATGTTGTCCTTCACAACTGGAGCCATGCAGACAATGTTTCGGCCTGATGGGATCAACGGGGACATCAACGTCACACTGTGGCCCCTGCAGGTGAGCCTCATGGATCTGGTCTTTGAGGTCCTACATCTGTTGAGCAGATATTGTGTGTAGGGATGTCTGATAATAACTTTTTGCCGATATCTGTTATGCCGATATTGTTCAAACACTTAATTTCCAATCTCGATATGAACCAATCCTGATGTAGCGGGGCTGCGGTGGCCTGGTGGTTAAGGAGGTTAAGGGCCACCTGCTCACAAAGGTGATGGGTTAAAGCAGTGTTTCTTAATTATTTTCTGCTGTGCCCCACAGGGGACAGATTCTGCACACAATCCTCTGATTATTAATATAGATTAATAACATGTGCTGCAATGCTGCCGTCTAGTGGCTTTCCCCTTCATATGTAGCCGTTTATCCCATCCATCCATCCATTTTCATCCACTTATCCGTTACCAGGTTGTGGGGCAGCAGTCGCCACCCAAATCACACTGCACCGTACCACCCCCCCCCCCCCCCCCCCCACCCCCCCCCCCCCCCCCCCACCGGGATTCGATCTTGCCCAGGAGGTGAACCCTGGAGGCCGTTCATCTCCAAAATTATTTTTAGGGTACACATCGTTTGGAGAACGATTGCGTTATTGGGTTATCATTAACGAAGGAAAAAACAATAGCGATTCTTACAGATATTACTCAATTATGCTAATATTGATTATATCAGTTGGCTGATATTATTGGACATGTGTAATGTTGGAGAACAGGAAACAATGGAGGTGAAAGAGAGTCCTTTGCAAATGTGACCCCTCCGTCCTTTTCTCACCCTCCCTCCCTCCCTGCCTCCCTCTTGTTTCTCTCAGAATGGTGTCCTGCACTTCTGTGGATTTCAGGTTCTTGCTCCTCAGATTTTCTGGGGTCCAGCTCACTGTCCACCCACAGTGCGAGCAGCAATGCTCCAGGGGTGGCAGACCCGACTGCAGGGTCTGGTGGCAGAGAAGCCCCTGACATTTGCCCCCAGCGATCTTTTTGACCTCACCGTCAAAGGTGGCTTCATGCTTTTGCCAGAAGCTAGAGCAGAGCAGGAGTCGCAGCCGTACGGCCTCAGCACAGGCCACCATCTAGGAAAACTGCTGCCACCTGACAACCAGATTAAAGCTCAGCCCGCAGACGACAAAGAAACGGAAAACTCCTAGATTGATAATATCTCAGTTAATATGACCAATTTCAATTTGATTATTGTTTGGAATTATTTAATATAGAAATAATATTTTTGCAATTAAGCTTTTTTTTGTTTGTTTCTTTAAATCTTTCTGTAAGCAGTAAATGTATTGTCAAAATATAAATTATCAAAAATCTCCATGATGGCTCATTTGTTGTGGTCGTCACGTTTAGATTTGAACAAATAAACAAACAAATAATAATGTAAGTATGTTCAGATGATTCATCATGTAAAGGTCGTCACCCAGAGACACAGCACCATGCAGACCAGGTGACCATGAATTATCCAACCTACACATAAACTACATTTATTTTTTCTTACGTAAACATTTGTGTTGTTCAGTATCACGACTAACATAAAAAAACTGAATTTAAGCGTTTTAAATGGCTAATCATAAAGGCAGGGCACAAGGTCTGTACCATCGTTAACCCAAATTAACGGCGTTATTAATAAAACACAATGAACACCAGCGCTTATCAAAACCAGGAATATATTTTTTTAGTTAATGAATTGACGCAAATAACAAACAATATTTAATTTGTATTGCCTATTTTTGACGTATTCCGGGCTGATCGCTCCCCTTTGTTTTTGGCTGAATGGTACGGTCTTAGTGACGTCACTGTTATCCGAGGACAAGGCGGAGCCAAACCCATCCTGCGTTTGTTGTTTTTGCAGGAACAGAGTTCCCGTGGACACTCTGACGTTTGGACATTTTATTACGAAATAAAGAGCAAAAACAAGGGAAAAGAACGACCAGTGAAAGACAGTTAAAGCCGTGTCCACCAATAAATAGTGTTTAATATCAGCCGCTGAATCTAGGCGTCATCTCGGAAACGGCAAACATGAAATGGATGTTCAAAGAGGATCACTCTCTGGGTGAGAGAGACGAAATATACCCGTAGATTAGCAGTTTTTCAATCTTTTGGAATTAAACCGTAACCTATTAGGAGATGATTGCTAATGGTTATGTTGTCTGTTAGGGAATATTGAGCTGACAGTTTGTGTTATGACCAGAAGGCGCCGGGCCTTTCCCTAAAAACAGTAAAACCTGGTGAAAAAGTAGATACAGGCTCATATTTGTGTCTTTTGGACTTTCATTCGACACATATTGTGTTAATTTTGATAAAAACCAAAAAGCATTTCGAGCCGTATTATCCCTAAAACATCGAACCACGGCCTGTTTACTTGGCGAATTTTAGCAGCTCCAGCGCAGGAGGATGGATCTGCTGATGCACCTGTACGTCACATCTGCTTCAAAATAGAAGGCGGAATCATTGTTGTTCATGGTGTTGACGTTGATGACTGACACCATAAAGTGTTGGTTTTTTAAAATTCTACACAATGTTACTTTAAGTTGCATAAATAGTTAGAAGGTAAAACTGTTTTATGGGTTCCTTCTGGTAGATTTTTTACTGTCACAGTAGAAAAAATGTTACATCAATTAAATACATTAATATACTCAAAATAATTTGGCTTTGGTCATTTGGTGCAGGATGACTGTGACTTACAAAAGTAAACAAAAAGAAAACAGAATATATACGTTGTAAATAAGCCATGTTGCTTATATGTTGGCACAAATATACTGTATGAATATATTAAAATACTGAAAATACAATGCGGAGCTAATAGTCTAAATGTATAGTGAAGTGACCATAAAGTAAAAAACCGTTTCAAACAACATTTTCCACATGTTGCTATGTCTTATGTTTGTTATGGTTGTAAAGCAATACATCCACAAGGGGGCAGCAGTAGATTCGGTGTTCATTACCAGGCCTACAACAGTTTCAATACCAAACATGGTGATGGTGGTGGTCCATGTGGACAGAGAGCTCCCTTCCATGGTTCAAACGTCAACCCTGTCAACCATGATGCCTCAACACCGCCCCCCATGATTTCCAGTGGTACTGTTAAAATTTAAGCATTGGGGCAGGCGTCCACAAATTCTCTGGAAAAACTTACCAAGTTACACATGTAGAGGACATGTAGAGTATCAATGAAAGACTCATCATGTGAGCATTAGCATTAGCAGTAGCACAAACCAGACTTAACATGACCTGAGGGTTTTTGTCCACACAGATGACTAATGTTCCCATGTTAGCTTGAACATTAGCCGTGTTAATTGCTCCTTTTTCATTATGTTCATGTGACTGACAGACGTGTTGCTCTTTGTCCTGCAGAACATCGGTGCATAGAGTCGGCCAAGATTCGGAGCAAGTATCCTGACAGAGTTCCAGTGAGTGTCTTTGAATCTCATGGCACTGTGCTACATCACTCTTGGGTTGTAATCACGTGTATGTGTGTGTGTGTCAGGTAATTGTGGAGAAAGTGTCTGGATCACAGATCGTTGACATTGATAAGAGGAAGTACCTGGTTCCCTCTGACATCACGGTGGCTCAGTTCATGTGGATCATAAGGAAACGGATCCAGCTGCCATCAGAGAAGGCCATCTTCCTGTTTGTGGACAAGACCGTGCCTCAGTCCAGGTTTGAACTGTCATGATTGCACAACGTTCGCTTCGCTTTCTCACAAATGATTGTCTCCGAAATACTGTGGCTGACCAACTGCTTTTCGTTGATCCGAATCAGAAGCAACTTTTCTACTTCTACTACTGTCAAAGATCTTTGCTAGACGATCACAGTCACTCCTTTGGCAACCTTAGCTTCTTTTATTGCTTCCTTGTTCTTAACGATGGTACAGATCGACAACTTTGCTAAGCCATACTGTAATGCCAGATCTGAAACATTGGCGCCTTTCTCATGCTTTCGTCTAATCTCTTTATTCAGTTCTATTGTTGTTCTATTTTTTTCCGCCTTTCCTATGGTGATTTATGAAATAAAAGAAATAAAAGTACAGCGCAAGAAATACTGGCAAAATCAGACAACACCACACGCTCAGTCACTCAATGATCACTTGCTGCCAGTGTGGTATTGTTGGCACGTTTTGCAACTGAGTTATGGTACGACAACCGGGGCAATTTTTGGTTAAGAATTTTGTTCGACAACCGATTTGTTTGAAAAGGGCAGTGTTCGACCACTGAGGTTCCACTGTAATATCAGTAAGAATTGTTATAGTTTTTTCCTCCGATAATGAAAACCTGATAACACATTGTGTGAGTTGGGCCCAGATGATGAGACCTAAAAAAAAGTTTGGGGGTTAATATTGGAAATAAGTAGTTTGGACAGTATCGGCAAAAAAAAAAAAATTGAAAATTTAACATGGGACATCCCTAATAATAACAATAACAATAACAATGAAACTGTGATATTTCAGGAACACCTGTCCTCTCGTCTTTCCTGAATATTTAAATGACATCAAAGTTGTTGTTTTCTCTTGTGTTTCAGCATCACGATGGGCCAGCTGTACGACAAGGAGAAGGACGAGGACGGCTTTTTATATGTGGCCTACAGCGGAGAGAACACGTTTGGTTTTTAAAATCAGGCTGCAGTAATCAGGCCACAACAACCCCTCCCTCCCTCCCTCCCTCCTCTCACCTCCCTCCTCCCTCTCCCTCCCTCCTCTCACCTCCCCCCCTCCCTCCCCTCACTTCCCCTCCATCACACTTACATCTCAGTCCTAACGCAACACGTCATCACCCACACGAATGCAACGGAACATTAGACTGTGTGCCCCTCTGATCGGACCACCCTCTTGAGTTCACTGGTGTGTCTGTGTATCCAGACCCATAATGCACCTCTTCTGTGCCGAGTCAGATAGATTCAGTTGTGTTTTCATTTTATTATTTTTTGTTTGATATTGTAATTTACTTTTTTCATATTTGAACCGTGTGTGAATTTTCGTTGCTTTTACTTTTGTTCACTCTTAAAAGATATTTAAAAAAAAACAAAGTTTTAATTTAACTATTTAAAGGAAAGGTAGCTGAATGACCTAACTAATAAAACTTTCAAATTCAGCCTCACTACTGTGTCGTCTTATTGTCCATATTGGGTATTACCTGCTTGTCTTATTATAAAGGTTAAGGGGAAATTATGAAAGTTGATTAGTATTTGATAAGGGGAAAACTGAGGCCTGACCTCGACATTTTCACTTCCTCCTGTTCCTCTCACCGCACTTTTGTTTCTACCATTTCTTAGGTAGAGAGAAGGAAACTGAGTTCCTCTTTAACCCGATCAGAAGAATCTGGTTCTATACTGTGAACCATAGGCTCTTTCTAAGCACCGTGTCACTGGAAAGGGACGTGAGTTGAGTAAGAATGTATAAATGAAGTATCAGGCCTGGTAGCGCTACTAGTGTGTCCTTATTGCTAACTACTGGGCCGAACACTTGATTGCAGCCTCCTGCAACAGAAAGGCAAAATCATTTTTACATATTTTACATCGGCAGAATTCCAGGTCGCACTACTACATGGAAATTAAAGGATCAATTTGGCACTGGATGAACATCCATCCATCTATCCATTTTTGTCCGCTTATCCGTTACCGGGTCGTGGGGGCAGCAGTCTCCACGACCGCCAGCCAAATCACACTGCATCGTACCAACCCCCCCAAGCTTTCCTGCGGGTGGTGAGTCCACTGGAAGGTACCAACCGCCCTAATATTATTTACTCCATCAGTATCAGGCTGTGCCTGTTTAGTTGAACACAACTTTAGTTTACTCACAGAAAGTGAAGAAATAATTCTCAACCAATTTTATAAATTTGGATGGTGACACACCTGATTATTTATTACGAGACACACTAGTGTGTCTTGTCACAGTAAATCATTACTTTTCATAGGTTACTGCTCATCCAACACAGGTTCAAGCTCAACTGAGAATAACAAATGGAAATGAAATGACTGAATGGACAGTTCAACGGTTTGTTTCATCTTTATATTTGTTTTCAGAATCCGTTCAAGGTTAGTGTGAATGAAGGTTTCTGTGTAAAAATGTTCTGAGAACGAACTCTAGTCTGTCTCTGGAGGAAACAAGAAAAAGGAGGAAGCGAAAATTTGAAAAAGAGCAGTCGTTGTTACATCACTACTTACTTGACACAATTTTTACACTCAATCTCCTGCAGCCACTTGTTAGTCATTTTAATTTAATTTTTTAAGTTAACAGTTTTGACATTTCTGTTTAGAAAATTATGTGAAAATGAAAATTTTTGTAGGACTCAATAAACCACCTAGCATCTATGTGAGCAATGAGCAAAAGTAACGATTTCAGTAGTGAGTACAGAGTACAAGCATATTTTAAAAATGAATTCATAACTATACAATACATTTACAATAGGAAATATGTCCATTTACTATATAATTGTGTAAAACAACTACAAAACAACCACTATAACTAGGCGAGATGCAAATGGCAATAAATAGATGCAATTATTGAAAACAAATCGAGATGCATCGATTGTTAAACGTTTGCACGTTTCTTTTTAAATACTGAGTGGTTTCTGCATTAATTTGTACTCGTAAAAAACAATCAAGATGTTATTTTGTACATTTTCACTTCGACTAAATAGGATCTAAGTTACGTTAACCTGCACCGCGGATGTATACCATTGTATGTGCGCCTGGGGCATACTGATGGACCTGGGCGCGAAGTTTAATACACCTGAAAATTATAAATCAACGGTTTAGCAATACTGCGGGTTTAATGAAGATAAGGAAACATTTTCAGGAGAGACGCGATTCGCAAACTGTGCCGTGCTGCAGTGTGCTACACAGGAACTACCTCAAACCTCATTAGTCGCCTGTAGCGACGGTGCGGTGTGACCGTCGAGGCCTCCGGCAGTAAGCTACTCTGTTGACGCCATTTTCTTCTGATGTATTTAATAATTTGAACATGTTGGCACATTCTCATAGTAGCTAAAAGCTAAGCTAATATTTGAAAATTAGACCTTTTTTTTATAAGTAATGTATATGACTGCTGAATCTAGCTGAATCTAGTTTAAGGAATTGATTTGTGCAGGGCGTATTGTGTGTTGAGTTGTGACGCATCGAATCGCACACTGTTGAATCAGATTTTGTTGAGTGCGGTGCATTGTGATTCAGTTATGAATCGCATGACATCCGTGCAGTAGGTGGTACATTTTTTTTATTGTATTTCAAATGTATCGGATTCTGAACAGTGTATCGATATGCATATCGTATCGGCGTCATGCTAAAATGTCCAACCCTGATGGAAATATATGTGCAGGTGATGTGTAGGTTTGGGGGAGACATTGTTGGAGCCTAACCAACAATGTTAGCTTCTTTAAAGCCTGCTCTAACTGATGATAAAAGTACAAAAAAGAAAATATTACAAATTTCAAATTAAACGAATCTGACACAATTTTATTCTATTCTGTGAATTTTTTTTGTTGAAGTATGTTTGTTCATTTGCAGATTCACATTTCTGTGTAATATTATAAAGAAAAAAAGGAAGTAGCTCGTTTCTTAGAATACTGTTAAAAATAAGGTAGGAGTTGTGTTTAAAAGTCAGACGCTGAGGAGGTCTCGTCCAAACAAGACCTGTCTCCAAACAAGACCTGTCTCCAAACAAGACCTGTCTCCAAACAAGACTACCATGAAGACTCTGGAGATCCTGCTGTTTCTGACGCTTGTCCATTTGCTGCTTCACACGTCTACAGGTCATTACTTCTTCTCCTCCTCCTCCTCCTCTTCCTCCTCCTAAAACCTCCGTCTAATGCATGTTTGTGTGTTCACAGGTCTCATCTCGGGGCTGGGCCGTGACCAGTTCAGCTGTTGTCCAAGCTTCAAAAGAAGAATTTTTCATAAGGAGACAGTGTTGCACGCCAGAATGACTGACGGTCACTGCAGAATCAAAGCTCTCATGTAAGTCATGACCTTTGGACTGTGGTCTCCTTCACCTCCAGCTCAGCCCTCTGAGCTTTACCACAGACGACACACTCACTCTGGGCTTTTACTCTGATCTCTTCTCCCCCCGCCCCATCCTGTTCTTACCCTCTGCCTCACCCCACCTCCTCACCTCCTGATTATTTTCTCCCTTCTGTCGACCTCACTTGAATTAAGGCAGATTTTCTGTCTGGCTTTGACTCGTGGTGACTTCACAGAGATGTGAAAGAAAAACTATAAATTAAAAATAACTAAAACTAAATTAAAAAAATTAACTTTATTCTTAATTTTAGTCTGCAGTCTTTCTTTAAAGTTACTCATTTATTCCTTGGTTTTGATTTAAGAAAAAAAAAAGATTAAAAAAATGAACACAAATATTTGGAGTAAATAATGTTAACTTCTTATTTTTAGTGTGGTTGTTATTGTTATTGATATTTAAAAACTTTTTATATCATTATTTTGTAGAAGTAGGGCCAGAAGTTGAAAGGTGAAGTGGTTACTTTCAATTAAACATAGCTTTGTAATAGTAAAATGCATTTGATACCTGTTTTGATTTTACCTCTTTTTAACTTTTTATCTTAATTTTATTGTTGAACATTAAATACATTTTTTTTCACAAAATGGCAATATTTACTTTTGCCACGTGGAGGCAGTATAAGTGGGCAGTTCACGCCACTTCAAACGTAGCAACAAACGTTTATTATTTTTTGTAGTATATTTCCATGTACTCCTACTGTTTATTTGATCTCTCTCCGGTACATGAGTTCCTCTGTTTGTGGTAGCGCCCTCTGCTGCTCTGCTAAATTTTGACTTTTACACTTGTCTTCTACAGTGTGACGACTAAACTCAATGAGAACTACTGCATTGACCCGAATATGCCGTGGTCCAAGAAAATTTTGGCAGCGAAACAGATGAAGAGGAACGTGACGGTGACTGTCAACTACACCACAGCGTCAGACAGGGCTGTGTCAGTGCTCTGAGACAGACATTTAAATTATTGACTCCTCTGTTCAAGTCTTTGAAATGAACTTTCAGTTAATTTAAAACAACTAGGTAATATTCTCGCCGCTCTGAGTAAATGAGTTAGTCTCTGGTCATTGTACTGCATGTGTGTGTACTTTTTAAAAAAATAAAGATTTAAAACATTGACGAGGGATTTTCTTTTGTTGTGACGACAAAAATCTGTTGTTTATTCAACAAAATCTAAAAAAAAAAATGTATGAAGATCTAGATCTCTTTTGCGAAGGTGACCTTGTGAGGTCAGTAGCACACAACATAAAAAGCGGAAATCTTAAAAAAAATACATATGAAACAATCTTAATAAAAAAAACTGCAAAATTAAATAAATGAAAATACGGTCTCTGTCCTTAAGGGAATAGGAGACTAACAACTCCAATAATGTTAGTAACAATAATAAAAAATAAATAGTTTTTTGATAACTAAAGATCACTGAATACCCTCCACCCCCCTCCCCTCCCCCCCACCCAGTGGTATTTGAACAGTTTAGAACAACTTTGACATTGTTTTGATTGGTCCACCTCCTCCTTGATGACAGCAGGCAGCGGAGGTTGGTGCTGGACCAGAACAACAGAACGACTGTAGCACTTGTCAATGTTTCTATTGTCTGTGGCTGGAGTCTAAAGTGACTGTAGCAGCAACACTGTTGTTGGAAAGTCTTCACTCCATCTGTGACTTCAGTCCAAAAGCACAACAGTGTGAAGAGAGTGTTGGACCAAGCTAATAGCTATTGTTCAAGTAATGAGCTGCACGGCGTGTATTACTGCGAAAGAGATGAAGAATATTTATTCTTTGATAAAAGTATATATACAACTTTAAATTTAGATATATGTATTTAACTTCTATAATATATATTTTAACTTGATGTATTTTATATTTGTGTATATTTATTTGTGTGTGTATCTTTTGGGTGTGTATGTATTTATTTCTGTACATATTTATCAGTAAATACATTCTATATAAATATATACATATATAAATGCATTTTATATTTGTTTGTATACATTTGTGTGTGTATCTTGTATATATATATATTTGTATATGTATCAGTAAATACATACAATATATAAATATATATTGCTACACATATTGATTGTCACTTTGGTTAAAAGCATCTGCTAAATGTATTGTATTGTAATGAAATATAAATATATAATATATATATATCAACATCTGATGTATATATAATATGATAATGTATTTATAAATGATTTAGTTGGAGTGAAGCGGAGCTCATGGCAGAGACGAGTCTGAATGAACAGCAGGAGTTTCCACAGCCGCTCAACAGTCTTCATTACAACAAGCAAAAATACTAATCACTGATGGGAATAAGTGCCAACGTTAGCGGCTATCTTGGAATCGCAGTGTTGCACAGTTCCAGTGTGTGGGATTGTGGAGGAGGGCTTATTATTGGCCCTGGGCTTTGGTATCTGCATGCAAAGTACTATTGTAGTATTGGTTTGTTCCTGCACTATCAAAAAAACACAAACCTTATTTGAGTGTTTGCTTCTACACACACAGATGTTCCAGTTGTGTGTTGGGAGTTTGGTGTCTTTACGACTGGTGAGGAATTTCAATCACCTGCCCTGTCGTGTCACCTGCAGAGGGAATCGAATGAAAAAGATTGTGTTTAAAGACCTAATAAATAAAATAAGAAAAAGACTGACGTAGACGTCAAGATTTAAACTGAGATTTTATTTTATTCATTACGTTTTCTCCGTCATAGTCTCTTTTCTCCAGGAATTTTAAGAACAAAGGGCCACAAACACCTGCTCTAGTACCACATTTGGTCCACGGGCCAGAAACCAGACCACAAAGACAGACAAACCTAAATTATCCAGAAAACTCACAGGACTCAAAATATGACAGGATGAAAATGATGTCTGTGTTCTTCACACTACGTCACCTTCGCAGCTTCAAATCCATTCACACCCATTCACACACACAGGCGTAGTTACCACACTCCCTGTATCACACACACTTGTCACATTCTGCTGACACAGCTGCCAACACAAAGACTGAGTTAGTGTCCTGACCGAGGAGAGACTGGAGTTGAACACCTGACCGTGTGCTCAGTAGATCCAGTCCACACACTGACCCACAGCCGTGTGTCCTTCCTTCTCTCTGCTGCGTCAGAAAGCCGTGGTTGGGAGTGTAGAATGATTTTCTTTTAAGACCAGTTCGTCGTGATAGACCTTGGACAGAGACGTGATCTCCTCCAAAGACACGTCCGCCTTGGACCAGCTCTGCTCCGACTCTATGGCCTTCTCCTCCTCCTTCTCCTCCTTCCACAATCGCTCGTACTCTTGTTTCAGCTCTTGGTAGGAGCGAGAAAAGGTGTGGAAGATGGAGGTGGCCGGGAAGGCCATGATGAGGATGCCACTCAGGATGCTGGTCAGAGCCACTATCTGACCAGGGATGCTGCGAGGCACCATGTCGCCGTAGCCCACCGTGGTCATGGAGATGATGGCCCACCAGTAGGAGGCCGGGATGCTGTTGAAGCTCTGGTGGGGATGTGTGGCAGCAAACGGCGCCAGTTCACTCTCTGCCAGATGCACCAGGGGCGAGAAGAGGGCGACGGCGACGCAGACGAACAGCAGGAGGAGACCGAACTCCCTCATGCTGCGCTGCATCGTCAGTCCCAGCGTCTGGAGGCCCAGAGAGTGGCGAGCGAGTCGCATCACGTACAGGATTCGCAGAGCCCGTAGCAGGCGCAGGATCAGGCTCAGTTTGTCCAGGTAGCCTCTGCCGACCCCCATGATGACATCATCCTCGGACTGATCTCTGACGTCGATGACCAGGGACACGTAGTACGGAAGGATGGCTATGGCATCGATGATGTTGAGTGGGCCACGAGCGAAGGCTAGCTTACTTTTGGCGTTGACAAATCGGAGCAGAAACTCCATTGTGAACCAGGCGACGCAGATGGACTCCACCACGAACATGCTGTGACACCTCTGGGAACACTCGCCCTGAACACACAAAAGAAGAATTACACTTCATTAATACAAACATGGCCGACGACTGGGCTAACGCTTCAACAAGTGACGCCATTTTGCACGGACAGAATTTTTTCCTGCGTCGGTCCAATGTGAGACACGTCCAGAGACCAGGTCGATACTGTTGTGGAAACTGGGCCAAAATCATTATATGGGCTACAAGTGTAGTGACCCATGATGAAGGAACGGAGCCTAAAGTGATTCGATTGGACCTTAAATTGAGCTTCTCCAGTTTCACAGCCCAGGAACCATTACTGACTGAGTGTATTTTCATTAAAGTTAATGTCTGTCTGTCTGTTGAAAGAAAGTATTGAAAGTTTGTCATTAAAGTGGGACCAAAAAAAATCAATTTTCTATTCGAATGTCGGTTCTAAAGCTCGGTAACGAAGGAGGGACAGAAATCAAACCCTTTCAACAGGAACTTGTTCCTTTCACATAAATGACCAGCCTGTCAAGTACAGGCTACTCTGACTGCTCATAATGTCTACGCAAAAAGGTCATTATGACTAGAAAAAGCAAGGGGGGGGGGGCAGTGTCCATTATAAAATCAATGTTTTTAATTTAGATCTTTGTTCATCACAGGAAACTTCTGGAAAAAATGGTGATAACGACGAGGCTGGACTGGACCTGAACCTCCGTCTCTCCGTCCTTAATGGTTATTGAGGAGCGAAATAATTTTGTACTCGCAAACGGTCAGTGTTGTTAACAATGTTGAAAAGACGATGACATTTTCTGTATGTTCTGATCCAAGTTTCACAACTTCCTCGTGTGACTGTTTCATATTTGCATGTCGGTGTTGACGCTACATTTAAATGACCTTAGCATCGTGCCGTCAAACAAATCTTTAATCGTGAGACGTTTTTATAACGTGCATCTGGAAACACTTTCGAGTTCTTGGAAGATTAAAAAGAAGTTGAGCGACAATGTGGCAGAGATCCTGCTTCCATCAATCCTGAAACTGTGTGTGTGTGTGTGTGTGTGTTTGCTCCAGAAAAAATAAATGTGCGTTGATTTGTCTTGTTTTGACAAATGACTGCTCACACAGTCTGTCAGCAACATCTATCTACCACGACAGAGCAGACCCAACCAGACGAGGCCTGATCCTCCAGAACCAGTTGTCACTTTCACTGCTATTGATTTTAAAATCTCCAATCAGTCACTGAACAGCTTCACTGGTTGTGTTTATTTATTTATTTTATTTTAAATGTACAATCCCCATTTAACCTCTTCGTAGTGACGTTTTTTTTTACAATCATTTTATATAATTTTTTGCCCATTTGTTTAGGCTGTTAATTTAATTCTGTTTCCTTAAATGTCTCTTAAACCAGAAAAACATTCTTACGTGCAGGAAAAATCCAAAACAAACAATGCATACGTTATTAAAACAGATATAAAGTAGATGTGATGTCATGTGATGGAGAGGGGTTTTGTCGGGCGAGTCACCTTTGCTGATACTTTTATTTTGGAAGCTAAAGGCTGCTATTCTGCGAATATTCGCTTTTAATTGAAAGCCTCAAAATGCTTTTATTTTGAAAAGCGTTTTGCTTGTTAAGACAGGCGTTCGTTAATGGGAAAGAATTCTGTCATTTCCTGGCCAAAAATACTGCTCTGTTAATTAAAACATAATTTATGCGTTATTTATCATTTCCTTGTTGTCATTGTTTATGTGAATGTACTTTTCGTAGGAATTTATGTTAAACAGTAAATCAGAGAGCTAAATGATTTATAAATAATTTCATCAATAAACCAGGTTTATTGTTGTTAGTTTTAAAGGTGAGCATTTTATTTTGAAATGTATAGTCACATGACCTTGGTCTGTTGAAGTTGAACTGTGGGATTGTTGGAGCAGCGGGAATATCAGAATGAAAGCAAGAAACTACAGTAAAAGTTCACTTTGTTCAAGAGGCGCACACGGTAATTGTATTTTTTTATTCTGTATTGTATTCTGCTCATTTGCTTTTTATTATATGCGTTCACGTGTTCGTGTATTTGCATTTTGTTAGCATTAGCCCCATACGGAGTCTTTTTAATTTGACCTTCCGTATGATTTTGTTACAACGTCGATGAAGGAGGAGAAAAACATCCGAAAATCAAGAAATCACTACGAATCGAAGCCTTTTGTTGAACCAGTTAATAAATAAAATTATAAAAACAAATGTTGTTAGTTTTGCGAAATTTTAAAAAGTTAAATCTTTATTGAGTTTTATTAAACATAGTGTCAGTCTAACCGTTGACTGTACGAACATTCCTCCATTTTTTTACTCCTGGTTTTATTTGAAGAATACTTTGAATTTTATTTCTAATTACCAAAATAAAATTGACTTTATTTGACAAAACAAATTAAAATGGTTTTTCATCAAATACTGTTCAACATATGGCTCTCATATTGTGTTTTAAAATAGCCTTAATGGGCAGAGCCTTAAAATGATAAAAAATATATTTATAGCTTTCTTTTTTATCATGTTTATATTTAATAAAAAACATTTACAATATACATTTTTACAATTAAAAATAATAAATGAATAAATAAATACTTTTCAAATAGTTGATTAAAATATTATTAGTAAACACATTTATTTTGATTACATTTCTTATTTTATTTTAATATGTGTATTTATTAGATAAACAATGTATCAAAACATTAATTCTGGGGAAAGAGCGGCTAACTCAGAAATGTGTGTGTGCTGATCTGGTCAGTGGGTGTTCATCCAAATATTTAGGATAACAGGACTTTGTAATTTGGACAGATGTTTGTCATGGTACTCACCCTGGTCTCTTCGTCTCTAAGGTCTGGCATGGTGCTGATGCACAGGCTGATGACTGTGACCAGCACCATGCTGACTGAGAGGCAGGCGAACAGCTTCCCAGCCAGGCCAGAGTGAGGGTTTTCCATCACCTCTCTTGTTATTCCGACCAGTCTCCGATAGCCCTTCTCGGTCACGGTGCTGCTCTTCTTCAGCATCAGTCTCTTCTTCCGCCACTCTTCTTCTTTACGTTCTTTTTCGGCAACTTCCTCTACACGTGAGTTCATGCGGCGGCGGCAACAACGCTCCATATTAGTAGGGTCAACACCCCAGTATGTCAGCTCGTCATGTCGGGAAACCGACAACAGCTCCCGCAGCAGTCGCAGTTTGCCTGCAGCCAGGAAATTGAGGATGATACTGAAAGCTGTAGGATTTCGGTCGAAGAAGAACTCCTGGCATGTCTCGTCGTAGTCATCGCACAGTCTGGCTATCTCCTCAGGGGTGGTGCAGAAGCGAAGGCGCCCTAGTCGACTCTGGGGAAACTGCTCCAGAGTGCTCCAGGGAAAGGCGTAACGGTTCCCCCCGACATTGATGAGGACCTGCAGGGTGTGGTCCACTACATACGACTCTTTGGGGTCACGGAGAAACTGAGCCCGCTGATAGTAAACACCTTTGATTGTCTCAGTCTCAGGAATTTCAGTGAAGAATCGGTCCAGACTGCTGTCGTCGCTGCTGATGGAGTAGGCGCTGAAGTCATGGTTAGCGTTGCTGATGATTGGCATTCTGGCCGCAGGAGTTTGAACCTGGTTTCAGAGTTTGTTGAAGGGGAGTTTGGTCGCGGTCTTCAGAAGTGACCGGTTACTGTAAAAGAATATGAAAAATACCTTTGAACAAAGCTGACAGACAGAGCCGCACTGACCATACAGCCTAACAAAATGTGAGGTAGTTGTACTGCTGATACCAGGAGTTTACAGAATTGTGCAATAGTTTTACTCACAGTTACCTTTAAATATTTTTTTTTCTATTTCCCTAACTGTTTGTCAAGCTGGTTTCTGCATGGTGCTCTGATGGTTCTACTCTGCCGTGGTACTTGTTAATTGACTGTTGTGGTCAGTCGTCTCTTTCCTCTCTGCAAGAGAATTCACAGCTTTTCCGGATGGAAAACTTGTGATGTTATTGCGAAGAAAAACATAAGCAGTCCAGTTGTTCTCGATCTAACTGCTTCAGATTAAATGTCCTGAATGACTGACAACTTCAGGTTACACCGAGACATCGCTGCTGACGTCTGTGTGCAGACTGTACACAGTCAGCTGAGGGTGTGTCGCTGCTGTTTCTAACGATCCCACCATAAACACCTTGACTCAGGTGGAACTAACATCCTGTAACTGGGTCAGGGGGTCACTGACCTGTGGTCTTTACTCTGTAATGCAGTATTTATCCACTAGAAGGTAAACACTGTGGACTCTGGGACCAGAGGTGAGATGTCTGATTGAGAACCTTCACTGAGAACATGTTCCTCTGCGTCTTACAAAATATAAATAAATAAAAAAAAACTGGTTTTAATGTCAGGTTTTACTGGGTGAATGGAGGAGTGAATTAATTAGTTCCACGGCTAAGGACCTAGAACTGTAAAAAAGTCCCATCACCTCTAAGTTCTTTACAAGACTTTGGTACTGATGACAGCATCTGGTCCGCTGACATCAGTGAACACAGGGTGAGGTCAGAGGTCAGATCAGACCAGGAGTCATAAAATAATTTCTGAATCTGATCCTAAAATGAACCAGGAGCCAGTGATTGGAACAAAGGGTGTTGTGCTCCTCTTCTTTGAACCACCTGTAGTGGTCGTACTGTACAAACAGGACGGACAGACGGGTTCATGATGTAAGAGCACGTTCAGTACTTATTTATGCTGCAGCTGCTGCTAAAGGTTTTACTGGGTGAATGGAGGAGTGAATTAATTAGTTCCACGGCTAAGGACCTAGAACTGTAAAAAAGTCCCATCACCTCTAAGTTCTTTACAAGACTTTGGTACTGATGACAGCATCTGGTCCGCTGACATCAGTGAACACAGGGTGAGGTCAGAGGTCAGATCAGACCAGGAGTCATAAAATAATTTCTGAATCTGATCCTAAAATGAACCAGGAGCCAGTGATTGGAACAAAGGGTGTTGTGCTCCTCTTCTTTGAACCACCTGTAGTGGTCGTACTGTACAAACAGGACGGACAGACGGGTTCATGAAGTAAGAGCACGTTCAGTACTTATTTATGCTGCAGCTGCTGCTAATCAAAAGTCCAGTAACGAGACAAATGCACAGAAATCAATGGTTCCAATAAACAGATACAAACTGATTAGACGCCCTTTTCATTCCAGCCGCAGTCGGCGCGTTTGTGTTTGATGTAGTACATACTTTATCGTTAATTACGTTTGTCCTCAGATTTTAATCGACTTTGGCGTCTGAGGAGTTCACGTCTGACGGTGATCACAGCAGTTAAATATAGTTCAGAACACCAGTCATGACAGTGAATCATTAAAGAACCTGTTCTGACTCACATTGGATGAAAAGCAAGAATTATACTTATATATGTTATAACTTTATGTACATTTTTGACTAAAACAAATAATTTTACCCCGAGGATAACCCCAGGGGTAATTTCTCACCAGTGCAGAGTGCCGACTTCTCGCCTCAGCTCTTCTTCTCTTCTCTCTCTTCTTCTTCTTCTTCTTCTTGTTTTGGCCTGAGCATTTTTTCTCAGCTCGTGCTGTAATGACGATGAAGCTTCACACTAATTAAATTTTGCCATTAAGCGAAGCATCAGCTGAGACGATGAGGAGGAGCAGTGAAGAAGATCCACGGTGAAGTTTGCAGCTCACTGTGTGTGAGAGGAGGAGGAGGAGGAGGAGGACAGGAGGAGAGGAGGAGGAGGACAGGAGGAGAGGACGGCGACCAGACCCTGGAACCTGCTGCTGCTGCTGCTGCTGCTGCTGCTGCTGCTGCTGCTGCTGCTGCTGCTGCTGCTGCTGCCGCCTCAGTGTGTTCGCCTGTGTTTAACAGAAAGACCATTCTCCTCCCTCTCCTCCACCTCTGCCTGCTCTTCCTCCTCCTCCTTTTCACCTCCTCCCATCCCTGGCTCCCCCTCTCTTCAGCTGTGAAGAGCAGCTTCATCACCGTCGTTGATCTCATCACTTCAGCCTCTCTGACATTGTGTTCTGCACCTGAAGTGCTGTTCTAATCTGAGCCTCGCTGTCCTGATGTTGGTCAAATTAAACACTGTTCAATCTTGTCATTCTACTCAGGAATACGTTTTTGTTTCGGGCTTCAGTCACTTTACATTTGGAATGTGTGAATTTGTCCAAAACTTTAAAATTACAAGTGTCAAATATGCTGAGGAACAAATGTAGTACTACAATATACTGTAGTATTTTAACAGTCTAGCCACACATATATACATATATTAGAAAATGTGGATTAGGATTAAGATAGAAATTATGATTGAGATTAAATTAAGAATTGGATAAGAATTGAGATTATCCTAAAAACATCCACTTTGGTGACAAATCCATTCCCACTCACATTCACACCTATCGCCAACCTAGTGTGAACCAGTGCTCTGATCCTGTTGGCTGTGAATAGAAATGCCACTGGTTTCCAGGGTTTATTGATACATTTCTATGAAGAAGTAAAAATTCAAATTCTGAATATATAGTTTACTTCATTTGTATTGGGAGGGTTGTGGGGCTGATTCCAGTCCTGACAACTTGATGATATAATTAAAAAAACAAATTGCAAACCAGTTGTGAAGTGTGTGTGTGTGTGTGTACCATGTTTGTGCTGAATCATTGAGAATCATGGTTTGCCCCGTTGCTCAGGTCCCTCAGTGATGCGGCACCAATTGAGGGAGCGAGCCAATCCCCAGGAGTTTGTTCTAATTTCTTCTCATCTGAACCGTGTTAACCTCCAGCACCGCCAGGAAATTAAGTTGCACAAGAGGCTTAAGGTTTTCAAAGACAGCAGCGTGCTGATCGTCGTCGTCCTCATCTGCTGCCACTGTGGAACTCTTTGAAGACGGAGTGATATCTCATACATGTAAATAATCTGCTGAGGGGAAGGAGCCGCAGCACGGAGACGGAGACGGCTCCGTGAACGCATCAATCATTTATTTATCAATCACAGTTAACAAAACACAAAACTATATATGAGACAAGGGGCTCCCAAACCCCCTCCACCCGCTCATTCTCCCCCTCTGACTCCCCCAAAAGTTGTCTCCAGAAACTGCACTATTGTTGAGGAACTGAACCTGAGACCTTGTTTGTGCAGCTACGTCTCTTGGATTTTCATCAGTAGGACTGGACGGGCTCTCGGCCAATCACAGAGGGACCTTGTGATTGGCACAGAAATGATGATGTCAGAGCCTCTTCTGTGGGCAGGAGGCCTGAAGACACCGGTCTGGGCTAGTGCAGTACTGGGAGTGAACTGGGACCCAGTTTGAGAGAGAGACTGTGTCCTCCGCCTGATGTCCTGACATGCTTTCTCTCTCTCTCTCTCTCTCTCTCTCTCTCTCTGTGTGTCTTTGTCCTGGATGTGGATTATTGTCTAATCCCTGATATTCATCATCTGAAGTTCATCGGAGGTCACAGGACTCGATTGTTCTGGTCTGTTTTCATGAAGTCATGTGATTGACATGTTTCATAATTCATTTTCTTCTATCATTTGTGAAGGTGATGACTTTGGAAACACGACGTGAAATGCTGACATCAGGAATTCTTTTTTAAATTCAGTCAAATTCAGGGCATCTGTACGTGACCTTGTCACCAGTACCGATACATCTTTAGGTTTAGTTTTAATAAATATGAACTGGAATACAGTGACACAGCTTGTTAATGAATCTAAATTAGATTTTTTTTTTATTATCGTGGTTTATTTAACAAAGCTTTAGGCATAGTTATTGAAGCCGTTTGAACAGAAAGTGAGCAGAGCTTTAACACCAATATAACATTTCAGCTGAAAACACTGTCTCCTGCATTCAATTAAACCAGTGACAATATTTCAGTGTTGGTTAAATAAATCTGAACAACAAGGTGACTTGGTGAGGTGTAAACGCCTCATCCGTCCACTGGGGGGTCAACCTGAAAAGATACATTGGTGCTTTCGGAGCTGGGTCTCGTCTTCAGTTCTTTTATTAAACGGTTCCAGTCCTAACAGAACAGAACCGATCTGACAGTCTGTCTACAGCCTCCGTCCCTGATGTCTAACTGCTGACACTGTTGACCCGTCATGACTTTAGTCGTTCTTTTTTCCTGCCTCTGTAAAAGCCTTTTTTAGTTTTTGTACTACACTTTTTGTACTGTCACATTTTTTTCATTTTCATTTTTAAGCTTACGCTCCGAAGCTCTCAGTCAAAAAAAAACAAAACAAAACAAAAGAGCTGTCACTGGAGATAATTCTGTCTGGTACAGAGTGTTACTGCTGTTCCTCCTCAGCCTGGTTTGCATTTTTCATTTTTGCTTTTGTTTCGTCCCTGCTGTCAGATCAAATCAGAACACACTGACCTGCTCCGCAACCATTCATATGTATTGAAAAATATATATTTTAGGGATGTCTGACATTAACATTTTGCCGATGTCCAATATTGTTTAAACACTTAATTTCGATTCTGACATCAATCAATACCGATATGTGCAGCTGTTTTTCCCTAAAACTGCAGTAAACATCTTAAGATTCTACAAGCGATTCAGCTTTTCATTCATATTTTGTAATTATATACTGTATATAAATAGAGATATATGTGTCTATATACATTTACATATACATGTATATATATAAACTCACACATTTATGTATTTATGAATTGTTAAATAAAGTTTTTTAAAAATATTTTTAATATAGCATTTATATAAATGTATTTATGAATATAAATCATAGCAGACTAAGCTGTTCCTATGAACAGGCAGCCAAATGGTACCAGACAGGAGGCCATCGTCACAGCTGCTGATGTCCTGCTCATTAGTTCTGCACCCAAACAGCCACCTGCTTCTTGTTAAGCAGAAATACAAATTATGAGTGACATGATGGTGTGTGTGTGTGTGTGTGTGTGTGTGTGTGTGGTACAGCTTTACTTGCAGGGACACTTTTTGAAAGAATAAAAAAAACCTGGTTGTTTTTTTGGGGACACGTTCTCCGGTCCCCACTGAGGCAGAGAGGATTTTGAAGTTCAGGATTTAAACTGGAGTTGGAATTAGAGTCATTAGGGTCATATGAGAGTTTGGATAAGGATTTGGATAAGTGTTTGTGTCGAATTATGAAGATTAAAGTGGGACTAATCTGTGTGGAGTGTTTCCAGAACACAAAATCACTGTCCGCGTGTGTTTTCCTGCAGTGTTGCCGTTTATATGGAGCAGCTTACACCGTAAAATATTTGTATTTAAAAAAATTGGAAAGTAGGTAGGTAATTTAGAAATTTTACAAATTAGTTACAACATTTACTCAAAATATTAAAATAAATAAACAAAGGTAATATGAATTTAAAAAGCCTCAGCCCAAGATACGAGATATAAAAATACTAAAATATACTGAAGCCAACTTATAGTCTAAATTATTAAAAAGAGAATTGTAACCCCTTCACTACCAGGAAGAAAATATTGTCCAATCACATTTTATTTTTTTTAATTTTTCCAACAATTGTAAGGTAATTAGGCCACCCCAAAAAAAATGATTTGGTATCATTGAAAAGCCCTAAATATCATCTGCATATAGCAGAAGCAGTTTATTCAGTTGGACACAGTGGATGTGAGATATTCAGGTTTACAAATGTCCTTCACAGGAGCCACTGGTAGTCAGGAGGATAAATACTGTAACAGGCAGTAAATGACAAAAATAGTATCAAGTTAGTCTGAAGTATTTAGGCATAAAACGTTGTATTATAGTAGTTTATAAACAAAGCAGAAACCAAATGTGAGTTAGTAAAAACAAAACATCTGCTGAGAAACTGCTCAAAGTTCAGACAGAGGGTTTAAAATATTGAAATCAGAAAACGCTGCTGACGTCCAGCAGCTCCAGTCAGTTTCCTGAACGCGGTGGTCACTGATGTGAGTTATGCTTCATTAAACATTCCGACTTTGTTTTCCTGCGTCTCCTCTTTCTCGGAGGGGAAGCTGGTGGATACCCTCAGACAGGAATCAGATTATATAGGGCAGGTGTCCTTTTACAGTGATTGACGAGCTGCCCTCTCAGACCCCGACACCCCCACCCCACCTCCGACCCAGCTTCACCCCACCATCCACTCAGTTTACAGGCAGCCTGACTCATTCACAGACAGTCAGTCTTTAGAATGAGTTCCTCCAATGGTGCCCTTTGAAGGTGTCTCAGATTATTTGTTGCCTGACAGACGAAATAAATTTAGATTAAATTATTAGATCAAATTAAACTTTTTGCCGATATCTGATATGCCGATGCGGTGGTGTGCTGTGTCACAATGACAATATTTTACTTTCACTTTCACTTTAAAACTATTTTTAGGTCACATCATCTGGGTGAAACCCAGGCCATGCGTTATCAGGTTTTCATTATAGAAGGAATAAACGATAACAATTTTTTTCCAGTATCACATAAATATGCTAATATTGACCAATAATTTCAGTCGGCCAATAACAAACAAAGAGAATAATTTAAAAAAATATGGGTTTGTAAGAGAAACTTTCTTCAATGACAAAAAAAAAATCCTATTTAGAGTAAAATACAATATAAAGCAGTACACATGCTGCTCTGGCCGTGTGTTGACAACTAATGAAACGGTTTACAATGACATTCTGTCAATATGGGACTCCTGTATGGATTCAAACTGGAACCTTGTTGTGAAAATGACTGACCACAGGTTTGTTTAGTTTATCCAATTATCTTTGACCACTCTGTCCTATTGAACGTAGTCCGCGTGGGATTTAGGAGCAGTGGGCCAGCCGATGTAATAACCTGCTGATTCAATATGGCCGCCTCTGCAGAAAAGACCTAAAACGTGTTTTACTTTTTATTTGGAAATTGTGTCAATGGAAATTGTGTTTTTTATCTTTTGTAAACAGGTTGAAAATATGTGAGTGAACAGAGGCCATCTGCTGGGGACACGAACCAATTACCTTCTTATTGGAAGACAATGTCACTTAAACCTAGATGTTGGAAAAGAAGTAGGGCTGGGTCGTAATGGAATATTGATTTAAAAAAATTTTTTTTTTTAATATAATTTATTCTCAACACGTAAACAAACATTTAAACATTTTTTGTTTGAATCCCAGCAGCTTGAATTAGTGAAAACAAACTTGTGATTAAATGTCATTTAAAGCCGTCACATTGACACAAACCCAATCAAAGCCAAACAAGTGTGGTCTCCATGATCAATGTGTGGAAACTAATCAACCTGTGGATGGATCGACGTGCAGAAGAGCAGGAATCCAAAGAGCAGTTCTCCCTGTCGTTTAGGTCCACTTAATGGACACACGCGGTGCACATGGGCCCTGATTGGTTCGACCGCTCATTCATTTAAAAAGATGTCAATAGAGGAAATTGTAAAACGGAGAAATCAGAGCAACAAGTGGGAAAAGAAGAGAGGCTGATTAGAAAAACGTAAAGTTAAGTGCTAGGTAGGGTACCTATTCTGACAGGTATGGTAAACTGACAGGGCGCTGCAAAACAATCTAGTAGTTCCATTAGTTACTTCAACATTACTTACTTAAAGCTTTGAGATGAATTTGAAAGCAGTCCAGCAGTTAAGCAAATACTGCATCGTCGCACAAGGTGTGGCGATATGGGCAGGGTTATCATATACAAGGGGGTGGGATTGTGAAGTTTTGATGTGTTGTAATGCAGCTTGTTTTGGTAGATTATAAACAATAAAAACTGCTTAATCATAATATGTCCCTTTAAATCTGTTTTCATCAATTACCGTGAACAAACAAACCTCACTGTTACTGTGGTTATCAGACTCTTTTCAAGTGTGTCATTTCCCACCAGGGTTTCTAAAATCACATACATTCCTTTCGGAGTACGAGCAGTGGATTTTTGACTCTTCCTCTCACAGATTTTCGTGATGCATATTAAACAGCGCAGCAGTGATGATCTCTGCTTCTCACCCACTTTCTCCCTCTTGTGTTCTGTTGCTATTCCTGTTCAGCGGCTCACAAGTCAAAAAGTCCTGTAGGAATCATATTCAGCAGCAGAGAAACACATGAGCAGCAGCAACGGCAGCAGCAGCCTGAGCCTTTAAGCACAGCAGAGACCCCCAACATTTATAATAACAACACTTCAGCAGCTCCAGGCTCATCATCCATCCACTCAGCTCCTACACACACAGCAGCAGCAGCAAACACTGTGCCACCGCAGTCCAATTTTCAGTTAAATTGTCTAAAAACTATTTTTTATTTATTTTTGTTTTGTTTGTCAGTGCATAGTGACAGGAAGAACAATTACGTACTCTGTCCACTAGATGGGAGCAGATGGTTATGAAAACTAAGACAGGAGAATCAGAGCTGTTAAAGATCTTCATGTCTTTCTTCAATTTTTTTGAGTATATTAGTGTCATCTTCAACTAAACAGGCAAAGATTTCCCACTGAGTTAGTAAATTGTGAGAAAATGTCATAATTTTAATTTTTTAAAATTCATTTTGTATAGCTTTAGTCCTTTTGGAATCTTTTGGACAATGCGGTTGTTTCTGTGTTTTTAGTGATATTGTAGTAAATGTTTAAATATATTTCACTAACATGAAGATATCTTTGGTTAATTTTTTGTTCATGAATAATTTGTCATTTTTGTCTTTTGTTTCCTTTTTCTGTTAGACCAAGTCATGTTCAAGTGTGACACAATTCTTGTTGGTGATACTGATACTGCTGTAGATTTTTCATTACTTTGTTTTTTATTTGTCACTAGGTTCTGGTCATGAAGACTCCTGCCACCAGAGGCCCCTGAAGCGCAACATAAATTACCACCAAAATATTTCTTTCATTCACCACCGGCAATGTTGGAAGCTCTGCTGTATTCTTTTCTGTGGCCACCGTCTTTCACCAACCGTGTTACGCTTATATATCCCGAATAAATCAATGGTGTAGACTGGAGCAGAGGTTTGTAATCTGACATATGTAACCTTTGCAGAATAGTTGTGAGATGACCTGAAAAAAATATTATAATGTAGCCGTGTCAAGTGTATGTTTATTTACTTTTATTCATTTTTGTTTGAATGAGAAGGGATTTGAATTAGCCTGCTGAGCTGTCGTGGATATATTTGGTTTAACTCCAGCACCTGTCACAATAAACAGGATCGAGTGACACCCGATTAATGAATAAACTAACTGAATTAAATGTTTTATTAATGAACAGGAACAATTAATTTGGCCACTCTCCATTAAGAGATTACAGTTATTCGTGCTTATTTGGAACTCTTCACAAACTTGTCCATTGGTAAAGTCTAAAAAAATTATATTTATTTTTACACATAAGGAAAGAGTTGTTTCCGCGCCATCCCTCTATCAGTTTCCTAAAAAAATGTGACGTTTACAAATACGTCACGAATTTGAATCTCGAAGCTTCTCGCGAGACCAGTTGTCTTATATAAATGTTCTCCGCCATTCCTCGATCTTTCTTTCCCCCTTAGCGGTGAAGGTGTAACAGTAATCGGTCGTCCCGAACCCGGGTTCATCCGACACCCTCACCACAGCAGCGAGGCTTGACTTGAGCCCACCTCAACAGAAAGACCATGCCTCCCAAATTCGACCCCACCGAGATTAAGATTGGTATGTTTTATGTTGGAGCGGACGTTTAACGCTCGTTCTGAGCCAACATGGCGGCGGTGTCGGCCGTTGAGAGAACAGACAAAACGGTAAAAAAAGAAGAAATAAATGGACACGAACAGCCTAAAAACATAACAAACAGCTTCTATTGCGTCCACTATATGTTTGGCAGATATATTTGTGAGAACGATTTATTTTTTCAGATTGTATGGGTTAGGGCTACGACACTGTTTCCACGTGGGAGAAACATGCTAGCGTTTGAGAGCAAAGCTACTTCAGCGGCGTCCATCATGTAGGCAGTGTACATTAGTGTATTATCCTGTGTTTCTAAATAACGTTTTATTTTATTTGTGTCGCAACGTGAATTTTGAGTTTTTGTAATAGAGACAGGAGGCATTCATAATTGTGCCTCCGTTTGTAAAGGTGGTCAATTAGTTATTTGGCCGTGTGGACATTATTGACGACGTATCACATGGTTAATGAGAACTCGAACCTGCTGACTGTGATGAGTGTTCTGTCATTTAGCTTTTGTTTGTTTTGATTTGATTTCTTTTTTCTTGTGACGCATCAGCACAAAATGAAGCAGATCTTGACCCACAAATGTATTCAGAATAAAACATGCCTGCAATAAATGTTCACAAATGGTCATTAGTTAAGTTAATGCCAAAAGACAGGTTTGCTGACGGTGATTCTTTTCAGCCTTAAACAGTGAAACTTCACTGCATGGTCTATAGTCTGCTGTCCTTTTCTGGTTGAAACTAGAAACTAGAGTGAATTTTTGTTAACTGATCTTTAAACAGTATGTAAATCTGGTCTTTCTACTGACAGCAGCTTGGTCACTGGTTATAATTAACTGATGGTTGTCATGTTTTTGTCTGGACCAGTGTAAAGACATTGACACCTGGTTTGTCTCTTTTCTATAGTGTACATGAGATGTACAGGAGGAGAAGTCGGCGCCACCTCGGCTTTGGCCCCCAAGATTGGACCTCTGGGTCTGGTGAGTGTTGGAAGAATACACTTTAAAATCCTGAGCAGTACCAGCCTCCCGCCACTATGCCTGTCTGACCCGGTGACTGAGTATAATCCAGTGGGGGCTCAGATTGACCCGGCTTTAGGAAACAGAACCGTCCACACAAATGGACTGCTCTGTGCCGAAAAGTCTGGAACATCAGAAAACCGATATTCGAGATGCCTGTGTTTAAAACTACGGAGGCTGCAGATAATAATGGTTTTACTCTTGTTTCCAATAGTCGCCTAAAAAGGTTGGTGATGACATCGCCAAGGCAACCGGTGACTGGAAGGGCCTGAGGATCACTGTGAAGCTGACCATCCAGAACAGACAGGCAGCTGTACGTTCTCCTGCTGTCACATGACTCTCAGAACTCTGACTCCGCCTACTTGGTATTGGCACATGACATTCTTTCTTTTTTTCCCCCCTATTTTCTTTCCCATCTACAGGTTGAGGTTGTGCCCTCTGCCTCTGCCCTTATTATCAAGGCTCTGAAGGAACCTCCTCGTGACAGGAAGAAGGTCAAGAACAGTGAGTAGATTTTGTTTTTTTTGTATAAACGTGCCTCATTCAGCTATTCAGGTTCCGAGGTGTAATTTCTCCATCTCCTCCTTTTCCCCCCAGTTAAACACAGTGGAAGCGTGACCTTCGATGAGATTGTCAACATCGCCCGCGTCATGAGGCCCCGCTCCATTGCCAGGGAGCTCTCTGGTGAGAAAAACACTCCGATCGCAGCAACATTTGTCCTAGCCTTCCGCCACTATGCCTGTCTGACCCGGTGACTGAGTATAATCCAGTGGGGGCTCAGATTGACCCGGCTTTAGGAAACAGAACCGCCCACACAAATGGACCGCTCTGTGCCGAAAAGTCTGGAACATTTAAACAGTATCTGAACATATAGAGAGGGTGATTAACTGTCAGTTCGCGGGATGAATTCTTCCTAACAAACCTTGCAATTCGACCTATGACTGTATTCCAAAATAAACATCAGAATAATAATGTTAGGATTTTTCTTGTTTTTGTGGCTCTACATTGTGCTTAAAGGTATATTTATGTTTGAGCTTTTTTTCCCTCAATCTACAGGGACCATCAAGGAGATCCTGGGCACCGCTCAGTCTGTTGGCTGCACCATCGATGGTCGTCCTCCCCACGACGTCATCGACGACATCAACAGTGGCAAAGTGGAGTGTCCCTCAGAATAAATGGACAAATAAAGTTGTTTTTGTTCAAAATTAATTTGTTTTTCTTTGTTCTGGAGGTTTCAGGATTTAATGTTTCAGTCTGATTAATCACAGGTAGCTGGAAATTGACTAACAATCAATCACCTTGATGTTGTCCAAGACTTCTGTAGGTAAAGAAACTTGATCCTGTAAAAATGAATATCTGGTGGTTTTGATTTCATAAAAAATATTTATTGAAAATGGATTCAAGTTGAACAGTAATCCAAAAAAATACTTTTTTTCTTTAGACATACTGAAAAAACATGGGAAGAATCTCTAAGCCATGTTTAGTAACTGTTGGAAGGAAAGAATTGACTGTAAACAACACTAATGAACATGGATTCAGTTCATTATTAGTATAAATGCAGGAAAAACATTTAATTGAACCTGATGAGAAACTACTTTACACTTTAACAGAAGGACACAGACCAGTGCTGATGTCTGGTCTCAGACTGGTCCAGTATCATGTGACCACCTGTGTCAGGTCTTAGACATCAGTCATTTCCATCAGGGGTGCAGCAGGTCAAAGGTCATTGACTGAGAAGACTGTTGCTAAGGCTCTCTGGGTCAGTTTGAAGTGTAGTACTGTTGGACCTGATACCACAGCTAAACAGGGACTTTTTTTTTTTTTTTTACCAGCGTTTTTATTTCCTGAACCAAAGTGTTAATCTAACATCAATGTAGAAAAAAAAGTTGAAATCAAACAAACAGACCAGACTGTTGCCTTTGTGCTCATGGTTGGAAGACAAGGTGGGAAGTCTATAAACTGATGCTACAATTCAAGGCAGTGTCGTATAAAAGCGTCATCGTGGCCAGACGGTGCCTTTTATTGTTCATGTCAGCGGAGCTGCTGGTTGAAAACCACTTTAGTTCTCCACCTCCTCATCGTCTGCTTCGTTCTCAGCTTCAGCGTCCTCTTCCATTCGCTCTTCCTCTTCGTCCTCCTCCTCCCTGCTCTTGTCGTTCTCGGAGTCGACTTTCTTCTCTTTGTCTTTGCGCTTCTGCTCCGACACCTCCTTCTTCCCTCGCTGGCCCTTTTTGTAAACTGTCGACAAACAACAAATGGGAATTAGATAATATTTATGAGAACAAAAAAAAATGTTTCCACTGTATCTGTTGAAATACACACAGATGTATTACATATCATATATTACACTCCTGTCAGTCTTTTTAAGATGACCACACTAACCTTCCAGAGCTTCTCTGAGTGGCTCCAGGAATCGTTCAAACTCCATCTCCTCCATGGCTGCCAGCACGTCTCCGGCGTTCAGAGTTTTTCTCTTTGCCTTCATGGCAAAATTGTTTGCACTGTGAAAGTATATATATATAAAAAAAACCCTGTAAGATTCAGATGTCTTTCTGATGCCAGCTGTCATTGACATCTTGTCAACTCATATGCGCTGCATGTAAACGTCTATTGTATTTTATTCTGTTTTTTTACTCTAACGATCAAACCTTAAAAGTACAGTCAAATAATAGCAAAAATCAGTGGTGATCCATAGACTCTTCAAAAATACTTGAAACAATGACTAAAACTGGCAGATTGCCCGTAGAGATTTATTCAACAGAATCTTTCCGCCCTCTAGTGGCTAATTGTCGTCTTGGTTTCCTTAGCTTGTGGGAAGGATATAAACTTTTTTACGCATACTCAGTGTCTGTATAGTGTATATCGTTACATAATTTGTATATAATGTATAGGTCGTCATATAATTATTCTTACCAGGAGGTTGCGTACAGCACAAACACGCTAGCCGCCTGAGAAATGGCTCTCCTGGCTTCTTTAGATACGTTTACTCCATCCGGGAGCTGTTGAAAACAAATTATATGAAGGAATTACTATATCATAAAGACAAAGCACAAACATTAAGTAAATGGATAACTTTATAATATAAAAAATTATAAAAATTGACATAAGTAATAGATAGATAGTAGTTACAGGATCGGATTCATTTAAATCTAAGGTTTTCTAAAAAAAAAAAAAAAACACGCTACATGAACTAGTGCTATAAAACTGCAAATTCTGTGTTCTTTGATTATATATGGCAGTGAATGTAACGCCAAAGGTTTGGAGAATAATATTAATAATAACAAATAAATCACAGGGTAGAAAAACATGTCAAGTGAGCAAATTAAAAAATACCATCGGCAGGTGGCAGCAGCGCGTCGCTAAGGAAGTGAGAGCAAGTGTAGAAGAAAGACCGTTCAATTCAGAGAAGAAAAAACGCCTGATCTTTTGAGCTGCAGCTAATGCTAACCGAGGCCGCAGCCGGAGCTCGCGTCGGAGCCCACACTTACCGCTTCCTTGATGATGCGGGTAATCACCGCGTTGGGAAGATTCAGGTCCTCCGGCCGCTCCGCCATTTTCACCGAGGAAACTTAAGCATTAACAGTTGAAAGGCTATCGTCCAGGCTCACTTTTCGTTCCCCCGCTGACAGTGTTATATTTTGCCCAGAGCTTCTGAAACTTAAACAACAAGTAGATTTAGCTTCAGATGGGCGTTTATCCGTTATCGACGGTGGGTTCGCGGGATATTAGTCGTTTGCAGCGGACAGTAACGTTGTCCAGTTATCGTTAGCTGGTTGTAGCAGCTCTCGTGTCCATCATCGGAACATAGTCGGTTTGTTTTGGGACTTTTTCCCGCGAAGCTCCCAAACGCGAGCGTGGCTCTTCTTCCTCTTTTTATATTTAACGGTCGTGGATATCTTCTGTGTGTCGTTGCTGCCACCTTCTGACTACTCCGGGCTTTTAATAGCAACTTGCCACCCCAATGGCCTTTATTTTTGTAAAGGCCATTGTGGCTATTTGAAATATTTTTTATTTATTTTTATATTATATTTTAATATTTTTTATTTATTTTTTATTCTGTGCTTAAACCTCACAGAATTTAAATCTCTGTTCAATTGTTCGAGCTTCTAAATGTGAGCCAGTTCCTGTATGTATGTATGTGCGTGTGTACATCAACTGTTGGGCTACAGAGAGATAGCAGGTGTAACAGTTGCTCTCAAGAAAATCAGTTCCTGTTCCTAGCACTTTAACCTGTGCTTTGATTTCACTGTTCTACTCCTAACATGTATTTCTGTTTTAAACATTTTTCATTATTACATGTCTCCCTCTACCGAGAGTGAAACCATGTGTCTAGGTGTCAAATTAATAAAAAATGTTGCCACCCCCAAACATCTGCTCCGCTCTGGCACCTTTCAAACATTTTTTACTTTGGAGGAACAAGGTTCAAGATGGATGTTTGTACTTTGTGCATGTTCTGTCTTTATTCAGTGTAGACAGTTGTGAAACATTGCCACCTGCTGGAGTGGTGAGAGTTGATGAGACTTCAAATATATGCGTTGATACAGTCCCTTCTGGACTCGATGGTCTGGCAGGGACTCGGGCGGACTACAGTTCCCCTCCGGGGGGTTGGTAAATCTATAGTTGATCCACTATTTGGGCTGAGATGACAAAAAAGTCTAACAATACTCAAAACATTTTGAGAACCAATACTTTAATGACTACAAAAATACATATTTAGAAAGGGTACAGGGAGCATTTTGTCCCGTGTACAAGTTAGTATTTAATGTTTCACTATTTACTCTCACTATTTCCGTCCTCCGACCCTTTGGAGCGCTGTGGTATCACCATGAAACGCGCAATGAATTGTGGGAATTTTAGTTCTTAGTCGAGGACGATCTCAAGGTCCGATTACATCGAAACAGGTTAAAAAGAAATATATAGATTGTACCACCGTAAATAATTAATCGACATCAGGCTTAACAACCATTTACCTCGGTAATCCAGGGTCCATGTTAAACCGCGAGGAATCCGCTTACGTCGCACGGAAGAGAATCGACTCAGTTTGGGGTGAAAACAAACAGGAAGTTGTTAGCTTTGTGGGACGTGTAGTTCCGCTGGTAGGCCGCGGATAGTAACAATAAACTTAGTAGAAGCTTCGCTCTGAGAGACAGCTTTTGATATTTAAAACCAAGTCGCTGAGGTCATCATGCCCGGCTTCACTTGTTGTGTGCCCGGCTGCTACAACAACTCGCACCGGGACCGAGACCTGCGCTTCTACACGTTTCCTAAGGACACGGAGCTGCGGGAGCAGTGGCTGAGGAACATCTCCCGGGCCGGGGTCAGCGGCTGCTTCAGCACCTTCCAGCCCACCACGGGGCATCGAGTGTGCAGCGTGCACTTTTCTGGCGGCAGGAAAACCTATACCATCCGAGTCCCGTCGCTCTTTCCTCTGCGGGGCGTGAATGAGCGCAGGGGCAGGCGGGGCAGAGCCAGGAAAGTGTCAGCGGCGGCGCCCGCCCCCCCCCCCACAGCCGCGACCGCCCCCTCCAACGTTGTGATCACCCGCGTCCTGGGCCACCCCGCGGG